TGGTAGATAACTCACATGTTGCTACTGGTATAAAGGATGCCAAGGGACTCCAAGCTCACAAACCTTCCGAGATAGCTAGAACCTTGGAAGTGGTTTTGCAAGATGGAAGTAGACCTAAATCTCCTACCAATACTGAAAACGAACATGTAGAAGTTGGCAGTTCAGAAGGAAGTGGCATCAAGGAGGGGTCCTTTGTAGAGGTTGGACGAAGTTATAATTGCTTTTGTTGACTTCATATGACTTTGATTTTTAATAATTCACCTTCAACTGCTTCCACCTGACGTTGTATTGAGTAATTATCTGCTGCTGCTTTTGCAGATCTTGAGGGATGGTAATGGATTTAAAGCTGCCTGGTTCTCAGCAAAAGTTTTAAACTTGAGGGATGAAATGGCTTATGTGAGTTATGACGAACTTACATTAGGGGAAGGTAAGTCATTTTCTTCAACGATGTTATGCCTTTTTGAACAAGTTGCATTTGTTTTTTATCACTTCAAAGTGGATTACTGTAAATAAATTATCTCGCTGTCTTACTCTTCTTGCAAGCTAATTGCATATTAGGATTTAGGACTTCAAATTCAGAATGACCCTAGTACACCTAGTCAATTAGAAACCAGGAGGTCATTTGGACGTGGTGTTTGGTATCAAGTAACACGTTTGGTTGGAAAAAAAGGATGCAGTATTAGGTTCCTGTTATTTGACAAATACTAGGGGAGGTTGGTTATTTCCAAATAACAGGTTATTGTCTTTTTTCGTTCCGCTTATGTTCTCATTTCTTTTTTGTAATTCCCGAACTACCCTTTCCTTTTTTGTCTAACTTTTTGTCACTTTCCACCTTAACTATGCTCAACAGTATTAAGTCTCAATATGTCTTGACCACCATAGTTATCAAGAATTCGTTTAATACCCGTATAATGCACATCTATGTACTAAATGCGTTTAAAATTTGGTTCACCTATTATTGTTGAGTCGTGTAATTTTTTTTTTCCATTTGTTTATGGTTCCCATATGAAACACCTATAGCAAATACATTTTAATATTTTATAACTCCCATGAATCTTTTCAACACACTCTTATGTTAAAACGACGTATAAAACTCCGTACATATCAATAACATATGCAAGTTGACCAAGCATACACACACACTGACCAAGCAAGAAAGGGATTAGGTTATGAAGAGCAAATTGGTAAAATAAAAAAATTGAGTACAAATATGACTCTTGCTGGGCAAGATTATACATGTTTTTATTCTATGTCTATCACTCTTGCTTCATCCGTCAAGAGTTCCTTTGTGACAGGATCAGAGAAACTGAAGGAGTGGGTAGCCCTTCGTGGTGAAGGAGCTGAGGCACCAAAAATACGCATCTCTCGTCCTCTTACTGTAATGCCATTTGAAGGAACTAGAAAGAGGCGTAGAGCTGCCATAAATGACTATAACTGGTCAGTTGGTGACAGGGTGGATGCATGGATACGAGAAAGGTAATTGTGCACCATGTTAGCCTGATGCTTTTTTATAAGCATCGTAAGTCAGGCTTTGCAAAAGCTTCATTAGTGTTGTTTGAATTTTGATTGTGTCAATCGTGAATAAGGAACAAACTTAATCGGCTCTTAGATCCATTTCTTGTCAATCTGCTAGTACTCCTGTTAATATTTTTGGTTCTTGAACTAATGAATTGTCGAGTGAGAACTATTTTATCTGTTTAATGATTCTAATGTTGAATTTGTTCATTGATGCCCTTTCAGTTGGTGGGAAGGGGTTGTCACGGAAAAGAACAAGAAAGATGACACTACGTTAACAGTGTATTTCCCAGGTATGGATGTCTTGAATACTTACCCAGATTGTCATTTACTCTTAGTCACGGTAAAAATGTTGTTCATTAATAATACCTGCTCTGCTCTTGGCTGCAGTACAAGGAGAAACATCAGTAGTAAAAGCATGGCATCTTCGGACATCTCTTCTATGGAGTGATGGGCAGTGGATCGAATGGTCCAATTCAAGTGAGAAGAATGTCCCTTCCCATCTGGTACTGGTTCACTCTACTTACTCCTTTTTCAGTTACCACTTTTTTTTGTAGCTAGTCTACAAAATTAACTAACTCTATCTTGCAGGGAGATACGCCACAAGAGAAGCGACCAAGAATATGGAACCCTGTAGCAGACTCAAAAGACAAGGACAAAGTACCCAAGAACGCAAACGTTGACAAAGAACCTGCTGAGCCAACATTGCTGGATTTGGCTTCTGAACAAAAGATATTCAACATGGGCAAGAGCACTGGAGTCGCTAGTAGAATGGCTCGAACCGGTTTGCAGGCAGAAGGGTCGAATGTTGTGTTTGGTGTGCCTAAGCCAGGAAAGAAGAGGAAGTTCATGGAAGTGAGCAAGCATTATGTTGGAGGAGCTCGTAGTCATAAAACAACTGATGAAACTAATGACCCATCGTCGAAATTTCCCCGATGGAGAGGTGGTACTACTTCGAGAACTGACACCACTGTGAAAAGATCGGCCATCCCCAAGCCCAGGGTTCCCAAGCTGCCTGGTAAAACTAGTGGTCATGCCCAAGCCCAAGGCTCGACTACTTCTGGTGATACTACTGTTGCCGCATTTACAGATCTTAATGCGAAGACAAAGAATGCTTCTGGGAGTGGAGGAGGTTCGAGTGGAACTGGAAAACAGAGTTCCATTGATTTCCGAGCCTTTTCTAGCTCCGAGGGGACGCCAAGGGCTCCTGTCGTGTTTTCTTCTGTCCGACAACCGGACGCTGTTCCGACTAAGAAACCCTCAACAGTAAATGCTAGAGGTGAAAGGGGAAGTAAAGGGAAATTTAGCACAGGTGTGGGTAAGTTGGGCAGGGTGGAGGAGAGAAAAGCTTCCGCAGGTGCTAGTTCAGCAGGAGAAACCTCCGGTGCTGAGGCTCCTCGTAGGTCCAACCGACGAATTCAGCCAACATCAAGAGTAAGAAGCACTTGATTGCTTTCTTGAACAAAATTTTCCATCTTTACATTCCACGCTACAAATGACGAACTAACTTCTGGAAACTTTCCTCTTATGATCCCATTTTATTGTGCCTGCAGCTACTGGAAGGGCTGCAAAGCTCACTGATGGTCTCGAAAATACCCTCTGTCTCGCACGATAAGAGCCACAAAAGTAGGCCAGCCGCTAGAGGTAAAGCTGCTAACCTTACTCAGCTTTGAGATTCATAAGCTCTCAAACTTACTGGAATCGATATGGTTGAGTGCAGGGAATACCAATGGTTGAAGGGTTTGGGGCGCTCTTGCAGTGGGAGTAGAGTGGAAATAAAACCGCTATTGGTAGTTCGACTTTTTGGGAAGATGGAGACTCGGCTGAAGCAAAACGGGGGGAGTTGGAAATGAAGAAAAGGAAGTTGGAAATGAAGAGAAATTTAGCTTATCAGAAGGGGTGATTTTAGGGTAGTGAATTTGGGGGAGAATTCTTGCTCTCCCTTGGTTTAGTAACTTGTGAAGATACTTAGTGCTGGGAGTGTGAAGTTAGGATGTTCATATATCTCTGATTAACGATTTGACTAGATTTAGTCTGCTGTTGTTGCGTCCGTTAATAGGGCTCTTAGTCTTGTATATGGGAACTGTCCGTGTAGTATTACAAGCTCGGGCTTTTGGGGTATATTGCTCAAGGCTTCTACCTTAAAAACTATTCTGCGGCCCACCAACGGCTAAGTTGGGTTAAACAATGGATATGGTTGATTTTAAGCATACAAAATGCAACTAGAAACGGATCTATCCAGAATAGGGTAAATGCCACATTTGGTCACTGAGATTACTAAATTGTGTTATGTTTAGTCATTATAAAATTTAATATTAATTTTGGTCACTCGAATTACTGAAACAGGTCACATGTAGTCATTTTCACGTTAATTTTCGTCCAACTCCATTAAGAGTTGGACGGAAACTAACGAGGAAGTGACTAAATGTGACATGTTTTAGTCGTTCGGGTGACTAAATGTGACATGTTTCAGCAATTCGAGTGACCGGAATTGGACGGAGGTTAACGGGAGAGGGACTAAATGTGACCTGTTTCAATAATTCGAGGGACCAAAATTGATATTAAATTTTTCTAGTAACTAAACATGATACAATTTAGTAATCTCGTAACCAAATATGACATTTACCCATCCAGAATATATAGCCCAATTTTCTCCTTTCATCCGCTCTTTAATCTCTCCCACCGTAATTGCTTATATAGTGGGTGTGACTATGTTTTGCGCTATTCATGGTAACGGATGTACTTTTGGAAGCACAATGACTCTTTTGAAATGTCACCCCATCTTTGCTCTGGTGTGTAAACTTTATGGTTTGATAAGAAAATCTCCTAATTAGGCTAAATTAGTAGGCAATTTTTATCAGGATAAAATGTTTGAACCAGGGTTGATTTTTGGTTTCAGTACAAAGTATCTTATCGCTAACTTTTCTGGTATAACCTCTGATATGGCTTTACAGTTCTTGCTTTTCACTGTTTCATACTAAGCATATTTAACTTCAAAATTTTTGCAAGAAGGTTGGATATTTCTTTATAAACTATAGATATCTCTCATGCTTTTTAGATGCCACATTTGGATTTTACATTACACCCATCCTTTGGGTTCAACGTCCTTGTTGAACTTTACTCGGCAATCATTCAAGAGGGACACAGAGAGACTATGTCAACACTTGTAACATCTCAACCCTTTTCTGATAAAGATATTTTTCGTTGTAAGTCTAACCCCACACGGTTTTGTAGACGTGATATTTGCTTAGCATGTTACATTACACCCTTCATTTTGGACTAGACGTCTTCGTTGAGGTTTGCCCACAGTAGTTTGAGGAAGACGCGGAGTGACTCTAATTCCACCGATACCATCTCAATCTTTTCTTGACAATATTATATGCTTTGTGCCTGACCCGCACGATTTTGTTTTTCGACACACTATTGTGACTCTTCAAAAGATTACAGAAACTCTTTCATTTTACCTCGAAATACGTATATCTAATAAGGTTGAATTGTTTGCTATAAACCATGGATTTCTCGTTGTGTTTACCATGCAGCGACTAGCTCATCCTTTACTTCCGAAATAGAATAAAAGTAAGCACCCACGTCAATCTTTGTAGCGAGCATCACACCATTTTACCTACCAAAAACTAATTTTATGAACAGTTGCAACTCACCAAAAGTCTTCTCCTGTACAACCACTCATCCGTCCACAATCTGCCTACAGAAGCTAAGCACTAGAAGAAGAAGACACAACCAGAGTGTTCTCAGCAGGCTGCTTCTCGATCATGGCGATGCGAATGAGAGTTCCCACTGGTATGCACAGTTGTCTGTACTCGGAATGAGTGAATCTCAAGTCTCTCAGCAAAAAAATGGCTTACTACTTCTGCTGTTGCATTTCCTTGGCATCAGCTTTTCCTTCAACATCATCCTTAGCCTCTCCTGAAGACAAATCCTCTTTATTGCTGTCGTCGAGCGTTCGGGTTGAGAGACGACCGGTTCTGTGAGTAAGCGGGTTCTTCCTTGAAGTTACCGTCCTCAGTGAATGGCTTCTCGCAGATACACGAAGCAGGGTGTTCGTGAAACTCACTCTTGCTAGGTTTCGCATCATCCGGTTCGCCCATGAACCCTCTCTGGCATGATTTTACCTTTTTGGAGAACGTTTCCCAGTCCATTTTCTGTCTTTTCAGGAACAATGCACTCAGCCTTTTAGCGTTCGGCCGAATTGTTCTCTTGTGTCCTGCGTACCTCCTGTGATTCAGATCGTTGAGAAGTATGTGTTACTAGAATTAGAATATACACGATAAGTATATTAGATAACAAACTGAGTGAATTACTTACCTTCGTCCAGCAAGAATCTTAGCCATGTTTCCATTGTTGTTTGTGACAAAGACATCACTCTCATCACAGACAATGTAGTCCACAGCAGCCAAGCGGGAAGAGTAAGGAAGTAAAGGTTTCAGCTCTTGGTCAGCAAGCATCTCCTTGGTGTAAAAGTTCGGGAACAGTTCTTTCAGGGGTCGCAGAGTTTCTTCTCCTCCATATATTTCTCCAGATGCGACATAGAGGTATGTGTCATTAGCAAAACCCAATGCACGAAGCATCAATCCTACTTCATGAGGTGTGAGAGGGCATTTCCCTCTTGCCCTCTCGTCTTCGGGACTTAGATCCTGAATCATTTAAAGTACCATTGCTAATAAATCACAAAACCCATCACCCATGTAGTCACGCTTATATCAGTTGTCTAATGAAAATGTATAATATGATCTTCAAACTACACGCAGATCACATGTACTGACAACTAATCAGATAAAAGAAATTTTAAGTTTTAAGTGACAGCCATCTTACTGGCAATGTGTCCCATCTTTTTCTTATTTGACTCAGCTCAAATCTTTCTTTGTCACCACCTCCAAAGTAGCATCCAGAAAAGGCAAGCATATCCGGTTCAAATCTGTAAACAAAAGTGGTTAGGTAATCATCATAGAGCGCTTACAGAAGTACAACGATTAATTATGCATGTTATCCATTCAAATAGCAATTGCATTGGCATTTCAACATACATAATATTAATAAGGAAGCAATAACAAAGTTGAAAAAACTGTTACACACCACCTCATATGATGTTGGCATATTAGGTAAGTTGACACTTCACAAATGGTGAAAAGATCTGCAATACTATCCTACTTCTAAAGTTGGAATGACCCTAGTAGAGCAACTCAGGTCAAAATTCCAGAAATAGAAATGGTTGTCAAGTTTAATGATAATGAATTTTCGCCATCAGCAACTGATTAAGGTTAGCTTATCATGCCAAAGATCCAAAACTCTTAACAAATAATTGTTTAATGCCAGGCTAACAGAGTCTATTCTGCAATTTAAGCGATAGAGATTCATTCATGTAATGCTTGGAAACTAGACAAACAACAGTTTATAACAGAAATTCTTAGACATGCCAAGAGATCCCACGAACAAACCTCAAGTGAATAGCAATGAAGCGTGTAGCCATTGTTTTCATTTTCATAACAATCTTTTGGCCAACTTCACGTATTGGCTTTGTGAATCTCAGAGCATGATAGTTAACACGGCACCGCAACTTCTGCAATTCTTCATCAAGCTCATAGCCAAGCCTATAATCAAACTTCGTCAACTGCACAACCTGCAAACATTTCCACGATTGCTCGAGACGTCATTGGCATGAATAGCAAAAGCTAAAACTACTATAAAAATTAAAAACTATCATGTCAATAGTCAAGGAGTTGGCTTACTTGTCTCCTCAATAATATAGGTAAAACTTGATCCATATAATATTCGGGTGGGGACTTTCTGGGTACGCGCATTGTATATGGAGGCTTATCCATTGATCGCATAACTTTATCTGGAACTCTTTTGACAATTGTGACATCTTTCGCAAGGTACGAGATGAACCAATCGACATCGAATATATCAACAAAATCACTGCATGACAAGTAATGCATTAGGGCTCAATGACAGAGCAGGGAGCATATAATTAAAAGTGTCATACAAGAATTGCTGAATTACAAGCTCACCTATCATCTTTCCAATAAGAATGGTGATCCAATTCAGGAACAACTAGTGTAGCATTAAGAAACCTCGCAACAACTACAGCATCAGTTATCTGGAGGAAAAGAAAAAAAAAAGAATAAGTCACCAATGGTCTGCTTATAGTACAAACTTTCTCAGCACCACCATAGAAGTCCAAAACTATGCAATGCAGTTCATCAGCCAACCGAAGATAAAAGCGCAATCAACGACATGGCTGATAGATTTTGATAGGAACTGTCTGATTAAGAATGCTTCTACCGAATTCCTTGATAACATTGCAATGAAATCAACACTTTTCACTTACTCCTGTTCTTTCTTGGTTAAGTCCTCCACTTGCTGCTATAAGAAGATATCCATTAGATTTCCGTTCAGATGTGGCAGCTACACGTAGACACACAGCAATTTTCAGGGAGCTGAATTCATTGAAACTTCACAGATTAAACGAAATGAATCTTCCATCTTAACCCTAAACCAATTCATCTCAGTCTCTTTAGCTTGAAACAGGTCCACACTGTGCATTTATGGTATGAAAATGAAGGGAAAGCGAACTTACGAGCATATTTGCGGCCTCTTTCGCTGCATCCGTAGAACATTTTCGAGTACTTGGATCTCCAAATATCGATAGGTTCTCGTCGAATAACATTCTACAAAATCAATCAAATCAATGTCCACATCAATGGCGACAAAACTAAGAAAACGACAGCTACCAGAAACGTTCACCAGCACAAATTTAGTCTTCTTCTTCTTCTTCTTCATGATTACTGTAAATTCCATAATTCTCGAGACTGACAGAGAAACGCAATTAAGAGAAATGTTTAATAGAAAGCAGAGCTTACGAATCTGGAGTAGAGGCTACGCTTTACCAGCCGCTGAGAGTACCACTCGAGATCAGAGGCCATATGTCCAGTGAAGAGCGAAACCATCCCGAGCGCGAACAGCATCAAGCCGCAGATTAACGACCACGGGATCTTCCTCCGCTGCATTATTCCCTGTGCCGCAGAGGATCTCCACCTCCCTCGCCACAAGCACCACTCATTATGCTGCTGCTGTTGATGATGAATACTCTGAACCTTTCCTCCTCCGCCAGCGGCGGCGGTGGCGGTGCTCACTTTACCGTTCGGTTGCTGTAAGAGCGCCAGGTTGGCCGGCGGTATCGAGCTAATAAACCTCGACGCCTCCTTGGCCATTCCCGCTCCCATCGGTTCTTAACCCTAACACTACTACCGTCATCGTCGATTTACTCTAACATTCAACCGCCATCGCCCCCGCCGACAGCATTTCCTCCGACGGAAGGCCGAACGCGTGGCCGTTTCCGTTCACGCGCAAAGAATCGAACTCGCGAGCGAGCTTCTCACGAGGAAAAGGAATGGCGGAAAGCCGAGAGGGAGGGAGGCGTAATCGTGAATACTGCACCGGGAATTTGGAGGTACTGCGTGATCACTGTTCGCAAACAAAGGGGAAGGGGTGAGTTTTACTTTTTTTTGCTTTTTGGGATTTTTTTCTGGAAGTGGAGAGGTGAAATCTGAAGTAGAACCTCTTCCTTTCTGGGCGAGAAAGAAAAAGTGGCCCACTAGAAAAGGGTGTGAAAATGAGGCCATTTTCTTTGGGTTAATTGCATGGTTGGTCACTGAGATTACAAAAAACGTTCATGTTTGGTCACTGGAAATATTTAAATCCAATCTTGGTCACTCAAATTAGTTAAATGGTTCAAGTTTGGTCACTCTCCGTCCAACTCCGTTAAATTTGTCTGATGTGGCAGTCAACACTCAAAGTTGACCGTTAAGTCAGTGACGTGGCAATTAAAAAATAATAAATAAAATAAATTTTAATCTTCTACCATTTCCAACTCATTTTCACAATAAAGTAAAATAAAAAAAATAAAAAATATTATAATTACAAATTGAAAAGCCTTCCCCGCAGCCAAACCAACACCCTATTCCCATCCTAGCTCTGCCCGCCGCCGCCGTCCCCACCGCTCCCCGCCCATAATCACCTCCACCTTTTCCACCCTCGACCCCGCCCCTTCCTCCAACTCCGTCAATGCGCAGTAGGCTGAGACGTGCAGCCGACCCTCACCATTCAATGGCGTCCCCCGAGGAACGGCGAGACACGGTGAAGCCGAATGGAGTGGCGTTGAGGAGTGTGAAGGTGAGGTCTGAGTTCGGGAATGATAAAACGAGGCCTTGGTGCTCGGAATGGTGATGGGCTAAGTTCGAGTCCAAGGTGTTATTTTGACGTGGGATGATTTCTTAAGGGATCTCCCATCTCTTGTGTTTGGCATCTGTGATACGCATACCTGACAGTGAGGGTAAGTCTCTCAATGTCGGGACCAAAAACTAAAAACTGGTTGATCAGCTTCAGGTCGACGACGAAGGAGTTGCCGGCCGAGGGATCGATTCCGGCTGATACAACTCTGTACCCGTGGCCAATCGGGTCGGCTAGTTCCCCATTTAATGGGTATAAGCAGAACGCAGAACAACAATAGAAGAGGGTGACGGTACTGAAATGGGTTCAGCTCTCGATTCCCACTCTTCTTCTCCATAATGAGGATTTGTGGTAGGGGATACTCTGTATTCGGGCATTTATGTCGAAATCAAGGGAAACTAAGAGACGTAACGCAGTATCTTGGTGCCATGTCGATGTCAGGTCTCCATCATCCATGGCCTCTCTGCTGTATATCCTCCGAACCGATTTGTCGCACTCCATCTCTGGCAGAAAGGGCCATGATTGGGGACTGAAAGATAATCCTCGTTTCGGGTGCTGCGGTTTGTCGCCGCCCTCCATGTTTGGAGTGAGAGATTATCGCAGCCGGCCATGGGACAATGGTGGGCCTCCAGTTGAGACTGCGCCATTTTTGTCCATTAGCTTTCACTTCGGCTATCCAGTCGCCGGACCAGCAGAAGAGAATATCATTTCTCAACCCAGAAATGACAAAGAAGAAGAAACAGGCATGGACTCCAATCCATAGATCGATTCTCACTGTGGTTACGGTCTTTGACTGAATCGCCAAGGCGTTGACGTAGTTGGAGGAAGGGGCGGGGTCGAGGGTGGAGGAGGTGCAGCCCGTGCAGGTGATTATGGGCGGGAAGCGGTGGGGACGACGGCGGCGGGCAGAGCTAGGATGGGAATAGGGTGTGGGTTTTGCTGCGGGAAGGTTTTTCAATTTGTAATTATAATATTTTTTATTTTATTTATTTTACTTTATTGTGAAAATGAGTTGGAAATAGTAGAAGATTAAAATTTATTTTATTTATTATTTTTTAATTGCCACGTCACTGACTTAACGGTCAACTTTGAGTGTTGACTGCCACATCAGACAAATTTAACGGAGTTGGACGGAGAGTGACCAAACTTGAACCATTTAACTAATTTGAGTGACCAAGATTGGATTTAAATATTTCCAGTGACCAAACATGAACGTTTTTTGTAATCTCAGTGACCAACCATGCAATTAACCCCATTTTCTTTGGTTTGTTGGTTATAGCTTTAGGTGAGTAATCATATCTTTGTCCTCGATAAATGGGAATTAAATTAAATATATGGTTATGTGTAGTAATCTAGTAGACATGGTTGTAAATTGTAATTGGTGGTAAGAATGGCAATAGGCAGGTCGAGTGGGTATCTCCATACTTATCTACGTTTTATGGCTAGTTACGTATAGGTTTGGTAATTTTTTATGGGGCACAACTCAATGGATATGTAAGTTGTATGGAAAATATTAGAAATATTCGTTATTTTCATTATAAGATCAAGAAATAAACCATAATATGATAAATATAATTAAATTATCGGAGAAATTGAGGTTTTCACTAATTTATAATTTAATTATAGCTAAAATATGATGTAGTAAAATAAAATACCTAAGTAATTTGACAAAGATTACATGTAATTTAGGCAGGAACGGGTCGAGAATGGGGAGGGTCAGGACAGGTCAGGTTGATGAGAGTACTCATGTCCATCCCGCCCCAAAACAGGCCAAACAGGTTGAATAAAAGGGGTCATATCGAAATTGGCCTCCCTAATTAGTGGTATGCCTGCCAATAGGTTTAATCAAATACTGATGACAAAATCGAAAACAATGCACAATTTTTAGACGTTTAATTAACATTGAAGATTGGTAACAGAATCACTAGAACAAATTAATTTTAATGCATTCACATCATTAATTTGTGATCGAAATTCTCTTTCTTTGACCGATAACAGTAACAACACCATTCACTCATCAAAATCCCTCAAATGTTATAACGAAGTGTCTAAAAAATAAGGTTCACAAGAGAAAACCTAAAATCTGTCTGAATCTTAAATCAGCTAAACTACAGCTACAGCTTTCTTGGCCTCTCCTTTCTTTTCTTCTCCCTCTCTTCTTCGTTTAAACTTGGTTATAAATAATTTGCGGTTCTAAGTAAGGTTTAGAGTGGTAGTTTAGGTTAGCACATAATTAGAATAGTTCAGCAAATGGTACAGTATATGGAAATCGCACAAGTAATTAGAACTGTATGTGATTGGCATTAAAAGTAATATAGTCTGGGGACAGGTCATGCTGGCGTTGTAGTCTGTTTATGGATAATGAGAAATTGGGAGGCGACAAATGATAGGAAGTAGACAGGAGGAAAAATGGGGAGTTAATTAGGAGAGTGGGAAAGGGAAGGGACAACGGTAGTAGGGAACAGAAGTGTCGTTTTATTAGCGGAGTGGGACATCAAGTAGAGCCATATGGCGAGATTGATCACCGCCGATTGATGGAGGTAGGGGTGTGCATCGCACCAAACCATCCTTGTGGTAAAAAACAAACTGTATCGTATTAGGTTCGTTTGGAAGTTGCGCAGATGTGTTGTTGTGAATGCATGTATAATATTATACATTTATTGTTAAATTTGATGCATTGTAAAATACAACGTTTGATTTGTGTGATTGTGTATGTCACATCAGTTAAAAACTAAGACAATATATTCTCAACTCAACAATCTCAACAATCCTAGCTAAAAGCTGAGATATAACAATCACTCATTTTAAGTGATAGATTGTATCATATCGAAGAAACAATCCATGTATTGTTTCTGCTAAAAAAAATGATGAATTTTAGACAATACATGTATAGTAACAATCTCACCAAAACAATCGCAACTTCCAAACGACCCATAAATAAATTATTGGTCTGAATTGCGGGCTGTTCATATAGTATCTACTGTTTCGCATTTGGTCAAATATAAAACTGCACTTATGATTCTAAATCGCAATTCGCTAAGGTTTCCTTTCGATTATCGAATTGCCAAATTTAAAAGGGATCTAAATTCTGAGGCTTCACCTTTCCGTCCTCTTTTCTTCATTGTCAACTCTCACAACCCAGCACTTTAGGAAAGTACTTTTAAAAAATAAGCAGTTGAGTATTTGGATGGTAAACGATTAGAAAATACTTTTTTTAATATCATAGATCATCTAAGATGATTAAAGAAATGGATAATTTAAAATATGAATAAAAAATCATCAAATAGATCTTGTTGAATTTTTTAATATCAATTTTTTTTATTTTACATTTTATACGTTTTAAATCATATATAAAAGAAGATATATGCTTTTGGTTGCAAAAGATAATTTTGTATATTCAAAACAATTTTTTACAAACGTTCAAAATTGAAGTTTATTTTATAAAAAGCACTATCTCGCTTTTGCAAAAATTGGACTTACAAAAGTGTTTGGCTCGATTGTCGTCGTTTTTTAATAACAAACACTTCTTAAAGGTGGGCCAAACATAACTTAATCCTTTTCGAATACTCTTTTCCAGTTTTCCTAACCGGTAGTTGATTATGGTTCTTGGGGAAGCTAGAATTTGCACAAAACAAAAGTTATATCTAGAGGGTTCTCACCTTCAACCAACATTCATTCGCCAGAAACACAATATTTTGGGCGAGACCGACGGCTGCCGGGTCTGAAGCAGCTATCTAGGTGAATCGTTTTGTCCGGAGAAATATACAGTTGGATCGCTTCCGAATAGAGAGATTATCATGTTGTCTACGATATCATATTAGTCGCATAAAATCGCTACTTCTCTATATTTGCAAACTTTTACTTTATCGACACACTTCTTTTTAACAGAGTTGGCAGAGTAATCTAGTCAGAATGGCGGCAAAGTCGAGATCCAGAGTGCAAAAGGACGGACTCTTGAAATACAAATGTTATAGCTTACGGCTTACCATCCTATATTAACTCTCAAATTTATTCAACACATATTATAATCAAATCTTGAATCTATCTCATACTACACAACCTCCAAAATGGTGTTTGTGTTGGTAACAAGTCCTATTATATCACTTCACAACCTCATATTGTTAAGGAGCAGGTGATCATGTTTGTGTTAATGTAGTCAAAATCTTGATTCTACGAAGAAGCATTAAGGTGATCTAGAAACGTAAAAACGTAAATTTTAAAGCTTAAAAGCATAGGTTTTGACTACATTTGTAAGTTAAAAGTGCGATGGCCGCCCTAGACAAGTCATTGTTGGCCTAGGGAATTAGTATAGTTGTCTGCCTATTATTTGGTTTTTAAGTTGCTCCCAGCTTACAGGATCTGTTTTGGGCGGAGTCCTCTGCTTGTAGATGGCCGCCCAGACTTTTCCTTTTGATCCTCGGAGACTATTTTTCTCTGGCTTTCAGCCTCCTTCCAATATAAAAAAAAGTTAAAAGTGCGATTCGTAAAAGTATTTTGGTGACGTGAAAATGTAAAAACGTAACATTTTAAATTTTAAACCATAATTTTGAGTACATTAGTTACATCATTGTTATTCATTCTTAATTGGGCCATCCGTTTCCATTGGTTTATTTGGTTGCTTGCCTCATCTTGCTGAGGAACGAGAGTCAAAATTTTGCGCCATGGATTTGGATCGTGAGATGCAGCCTCGAGCCAGGCCCAAAATCGAGGCCCACTAATCCAAATTGTTCCGTAATAGTTTTGAGGTGATATAAAACTACTGAGAAGCACTTAACAAACATTTTAATTTGGCTACGTCATGGTTCACTCAGTGCACTACTGAGAGCGAAAGCCCAAAAAGACATTTTATTTTAGCCTTTAGCCGCCTACATTTGTCACTGTCTCTCTTTCTATCTTGAGGTCTCTTTCTTTCTCATGAGCCACAACCTCACATTTAGTGATCAATAGTTTCAGTTTGTTTTGGTATATAGTTAAAGGCCATAAACCACATACATTTGACTTAGATGAGTGTCAAGTCTGCACAAATATGGTAAAAATTCCCCCTCCTTAATTGTGTTTCAATCCATTAAGCTAACGAATATGGTTAACTCATAGAAGTATCTTACCAACTCATTCACGTGTTTGGTGTCGTGTAAAAAGGTATTGAATTAGGTATTCTCAGTTCTGATAACAATATCTACCAACGGTATCAATAATTTTCTCAATGTAATGATACTTTCTTTCACACGTTGACACTCGACGAACATATATGCAAATAAGTTGATTAAAGAAGATCGGTCGAGTTAGGTTGGGCATCCGATCCATGGCATAATTTGATGTCTTTTTTTTTCTTCTAAAATTGAATCGTAATAGAATAATTTCAATGATTAATACCTTAAATTGATCCGAACTTTGCATACTACTTTTGCCCGTTGTTTCTAAAATACTCATCCTGACCTAAAACTATACACCATCTAGACTAATTTGATCGAACTCGTGGGTTGGTGGTCAAGTTAGACTATTATTAGCCATTGATCTTTCAGGTTCGCTATGTATTTACAACCCATGCTAATGCGTAGAAAGGATAAACTTGTATTTGCAAGAAACTTAAGTGATGAAAGAAATCATTAGTTGAACTAATTATCTCATTAAACAATGGACATGATATTGGTTTCAGTTGTTGAGCTGAAGAGCGTCATCACTGTGAGATTATATTGTTGTGCAAGTAATTGAAGCTCTGATGCATCTCTCCCCACCAAACAGAACACCTTCAGCACAAACATATATAAAAAGGAAAACGAAGAGAAAGTCTTATCGGCACCACCTAATTAATTTGGTCAACAAACAGAAGAGAGAGCCCTCAAATGTAAGAACAAGAAGCCAACTATACACAAAATGACGATTAACGGACGTCTGTAACTTAATTGCAGGAAACTTCACAAGATCAGAAGTTTAGAACTATTTCCACTTCCACTGCCTAATTGGGTATTTAAGTGCGGCTAATTATGTACTTGTGGCGTGAATAAGCGTGATTATGGGTTTTTGGCCCCCTCCACAAAATTAAACAAGAAAGTCCGTTTTATGCACTTCATTTGAAAAAGTTGGGACCTTTTACACAAGACAACGATTAATCAGTTGACCAAGAGAAGAGACTCAACTACACCCACTTGACCCCAAATATACACTACTCTTTGATGGACTCATGTGTAACAAAAGAAAAGGAAACTATGGTGAGAATGAGTAATGAAAAGTTCACTTATTAGTACTCAGATACCGAATTGTGTTGCTAGATGATATATCAACTTTCATGACGAGTTGGATTAGGTGATAAAAAAAAAATATTGCCTCAATACATTATCCAATTGAGTGAGCACTAACAATTTACTCTATAACTTATTAGACTATTCTAGATGATATTTTTCCTTCAGTTCCGTTCAACATCTCTCATTGCATAAAATACATGAATATTTCATGTATATGGCAATAGAAAGATGTCGTATTATCGAGTAGAATATATAAACATATATTACCTCGCCCTAACCTCCCTTCTTAATTAGCTGAAACAATAGTCACAAACTTCTCAACGACTACATGCCTCCATACACTCAAACTACACCATCTTGTGTCCTAACGCAACTCATACCAATTGTAGACATATGTTCTAGTACTATAGATAGGTCAAACACAAATGAAACCTGTTCAAGTTGTGATGAGAATAGGCTTCCTATTTGATCACCTACCTTGAATATATGATATTCCAAAGTTCCCCAAATCAAACTTCTCCACACGAGCCCTCTCATATATATATTTTTGGTGGCTTCTACTGTACTTTGGGTAAATCTAGAGTATAGCATACCCTTAGTACGTAAAAAAATATCTAGACCTTGCATTAGTTGAATTTTGAGACAATATATTATACACCAGCCCTAAATGAGTAAACCTTATGTCCTAGTTATCTAAATTATAAACCCCAAACCATGTAATCCGTATAATCATAATCATCATTTATTGTTTCCATTTGAAATTATATTAGTGTGTAATATTTGGAGAATTCGTACATAGATTTTAGTCTGTAACTCTGTAAGGATTTAAGTATAGTATCATGTCCTAAAATCCGATCAATTCAAACTCTAAATACATTTTTGTACTCAACATATGCAATACCTCATATTTACCTATGTAAAATATAACTCGATATATATTCTAATCTGCCAAATTAAAAACAAAATTTCACTAGTCCAATTTGGAAATGATGGGATATGTAGATCATCAAACCAAGAATTTCGACAGTGGTTTACCCACCATAGCTCCCCTTATGAGAGTCAGAGTCACCCCAATAACATCATCATAGTCTTCCCTCCTCCAAGTCAGAATCTCCCAAGGCATGATTCCTGATGAAAAGCCACACACGGCAGAACAGAATCTTCCTTAACCTTTGCCCTCCTCTCCTCCCTTTCATATATAACTTGTTCCTCCACCTTATCTCTCTATCTATCTCCAAATAAAATTAAACCCCTCATTGGCCCCAAAACCACCCACTTAAAAACTCTAAATTCCTCCATTGATTCATTCATTAACCTTTCCCTTTCCTTCAGAAAAGGTGGGGACTTTTTTTTTTTTTTTTTTTGTGCTCGGCTCATCTCCTCCTCCATCTTCTTCAGCCGCCGAAAAGGAAAGAGAAGACAGAAAGCCATGATTCGATTTTTCAGTTATTCCCGTTTCACTTCCTTCTTCCTCCTCTGTTCTTCCTTACTCTGCCTTTCCCGCCTTCCCCTGCTTCCCGCCAGAATCATACCCGACGCCGTAACCGTTATACCCGAAACCCAAAACGCCACGTGGCACAACTTCGTTCGCCTGATCGACGCCGGTAGAGGAAGCCAGCTCAGCGGCGTGGCCGACCTCAAGCGCTACTTCCACCGCTTCGGCTACCTCGAGGGTACCAATTTCTCGAGTTTTGGGAATTCGGGTAGTAATTTGAATTTCTCCGATTTGTTCGACGGCCAATTGGAATCCGCCGTCTTATCCTACCAGCGGAATCTGGGATTGGCGGTCACCGGGAAGCTTGACTCGGACACGGTATCAGCAATCATGTCGCCGCGCTGCGGCGTCGCCGACTCGTCTTCCCCTCCTTCGCCGTCGAAGCTGCACGCGACGAAGCGGTTCGCGTACTTCTACGGCCGGCCGCGGTGGCAGAGGGGGAGCGACGGCGACGGCGACGGGGAGACGATGACGCTGACGTACGCTTTCTCGCCGGACCACAGGGTGGGGTACTTGAGCGCGAAGGACGTCCGGCGGGTTTTCCGGCGGGCGTTCGACCGGTGGTCGGCGGCGATTCCGGTGAGCTTCCGGGAGTCGGAGGAGTACGGGTCGTCGGACATCAAGATCGGGTGGTACCGCGGCGACCACGGCGACGGGGAGGCGTTCGACGGCGTGCTTGGGGTGCTGGCGCACGCCTTCTCGCCGGAGAACGGGCGGCTCCACCTCGACGCGGCGGAGACTTGGGCGGCGGCGGACGATTTCGACGGGGTGACGTCACGGGTCGCGGTGGACCTGGAATCGGTGGCGACCCACGAGATCGGTCACGTGCTGGGCCTGGCCCACAGCTCGGTCAAGGAAGCGGTTATGTATCCGAGCCTGAGCCCGCGGATGAAGAAAGTGGAGCTCAAAGTCGATGACGTGGAAGGGATCCAGGCGCTTTATGGTTCAAACCCGAATTTCAAGTTCAATTCTTTGTTGGCGTCGGAGAATTCTTCGAATTCAAACGGTGTCGGGATGATGGGGGTTCGACGATCGTCGGCGGCGTGGAATCATTTCGCCCTGCTGGTCTGCCTCTCCGGCATGCTCCTTTCGTGTATATAAAACAGTTAAAAAAAGATTAATTCTTGTTTCGAGTTAGATTAGTAGACACAAATCACAAAGAGTTACGGTTAAATGGAAACCTTTTTTTTTATATTGTTGTGGATCAAATGATGCATAATTAGACCAGGTTTTGATTCTCAAATGTGGGAAAAAAATATATGTTTTGATTCAATTTGATCTTTCTCGAAAAGAATACATAAATGAATTGAAATCGTGAGCATAAGCTAATTAAAATGGAAGTGAGAGTTAACGCGATCAAGAACTCCAATTTATGATGTATATATAACCGCTAAAATTGCTCAAATATTTTCAGTAAGGAAGTATTTTCAATTAAAACCTTATTACGTCATGCAAGGAACCCAATTATCCAAGTTGACCAATTAACTATTTTTTCAATCGATAATCAATTTCCAAATATTGTTTTATATTTTTCTTGATGTTTAAACACCCCGGCCGATAATTGTTATTAGGGCAAGAATTGGACGGGACTGAATGGTTGATTTCAGAGACGCCAGTAACAAGAAACAGGTGTTTTAATTGTTTAACTTTTCTTGTTAGTTTGGTCATCCAAACCCTAATTAGAATACTAATTGCGTGCGCCATGGTCCACGTGTAGTTTCCACAGTGCCATTTTTCCTCTTTGTTTCCTTTATTCACTCATCCAAGTTACATATGTATGAGCGTGGGAAGTAAAAGGGTGGCAGAATATTGCCAAAACTCGTTGCCGGAAAGGAATATATAGTTTGTTTATGCAATAGGGCAAAATACTTTCGTTGTTGAGTTGAGGATACAAGAGAAAGAACACCAGCTAAACCAACTGCTGCCTGGAAGCAATATACAAGCCAGAAGGGCACAAGAAGAAAATTGCTGTTGGATATTGCCGATGGAGTGGGCAAAAGCTTTTGTCTTCATGTTTGGATTAGAAACATACTTGGTCAACAAAGAAGGAACCTTTCCCTGTAGAGGAAATTACTACATGTATTTTTAAATCTGCAACGAAACCAAAATTCGCAATCTATGTAATCTAAATTCTAAATATACGCTACTTCGAGTCTAGATATATCGACTTTAGATTTTTTTTTTTAAAGAAGCATGTATAGAGAATGCCGATTCACATCGCCAAAGATTAGATGATCAAAAATTCAAAAGAAAAATATACTATGCCGTCATCCATGAACTGCTTATTGAGGCTATATTTGATCGATGTTTCTACAAGTGGGGAGTCTAGAACACTTGCTTGACGGGTCCTTTTCATGATTTGTGTCTTGGTCTCATGAATACGCCTCAAGTAATCACCGAATATGTATTGTTTCTTAAAAATAATTTCACTTTAGTAGCAGATTTATGGATGAGAGGATTTGAACGAAGTTGCGAACTAACCGATTTGATAGGTTAGTGGCTTAGCGCAAAGTTAAGTGTTATCATTTTGTTAGGAATTAAATTTAAGTGACTCGTTCTGTTACTGACCCAAAGTTAAGTGCTTATTTCTACAATTTGACTTAAAGCTTCAAGCCCGTCTCTTTAGCCAGATAAAGCTCAGCCCACTACTCCAGAAGGTCCAAAAGCCCAAACCAAATCACAACTCACAGACACAGTCCATAACCATTTTTATCTCCCCTTCAGTCGTCTCGGGAAAGATCGGGCAGTCGGTGAATTCTAAGTCTAACAGAGGAATTTTTCCCGGCGCCTAATCCTAAAACCCTAAACCCTCTCAGACAAATCGAGACGCCCAATTCCAAAACTTTCGAAAGCTCCATTCCTCTTCTCTTCTTCCACTGAAACATCAATGGCTTCCTTCGGCACCAAATTCGTCTCCAGATCATCCCTATCCTCCATAAAATCTGCCCTCAGATCCGCCGCTGCAAAATCCAGATCAACCAGCTCTACCTCATCCTTCGCTAGCACTTCTTCTTCTGCTACTCCTATTCGCCGCTTCTCCATCTCCAGGTACGGAGCTCGGGGTTTGGCTTCTTAGTAAGTGTCGGAATTTCACTCCCAATTTCAGTTTTTTTTTATTGCTGCTTATGTTTTTTCCCCCGCCGGTGGGCTTGATTTCCAGGATTCCCTCGGAGTTGGGATGCGCGGCGTCTTTGCTGCCCCTGCATAGCGCGGTGGCGACGGCGAGGATGACTTCATGCTTGAGCACGACTTCGAGGAGTGGCCGTGCTCTCTCCCAGGGTACACTCTGCTGCACCTATCCCGGCCTCTAGTAGCTACATTGCTAAGAAAAAGCTTTTATTAGTACTACTACTCTCTCTTGACTGTGAGTAGCTTTTTTTTTTTTTTTTTTTTTTTTGCTTCTCTTCAAACCCCTAAATTTGATATATGTAGCTTTACTTGATTGCCATATATATCATTGAAATGGAAGGAATGATAATTGGCTCTTGTTGATTACATGGATGTTTCATTTTATACTTGTCGGGACTTTGTGCGTAAATTGATTCTTGTTGTGGTCCTTAAAGTTCGAAACTTTAGGCACGAAATTGAGGTTCTGTTTAGAGAACACGGGGGAGCTAGAATTTGAGTTAGGGTGTCTTATTGGGGGTCAATCTAGTCTGGAGATCTCAAGTGGCCATAGGGTGTTTGCACAGTCTGACTAAGGGTATTTGGTTCCTGCAGGCACATAATATCAAAAGAAATAAACTGGGGATCTGTCAATTATGGCCCACTGCATCCTTATCAAGTATGACACAAATTAGTATTTCGTTAGTAATCTCCAACTTGTTAGTTCGATCATTTTGACCTCCATGGTCGCCTGGTCGGAGTTTCTATTGAGAAGTTTGCATAGCTTCACTTGGTTGCCTATGTGTGAATTCTCAAATGAGATGAAAGACTTGTTCTTTTACCCCCATAAGTCTAGATTCTCATGTGGTCATGATCTAGTGTATGAATTTCAATAGATACTAGGTGTTCTGGTAACAAACTGCTGCATATTTAATTTTCATTGGGCATAGTACCAAACCTCTAAGTTGACTCCTGATCAAAGTTCTACTTAATTTTCCTGGTAGAAGATGTCAAATAAGAGGCTAGATTATATCGAAATTATTCGATGCCAGCTTTTCAATGCGAAAACTGGACAAGGCAGGCTAGGGCTACGATATAAGTGCAAAGCACATTGTACATTTGCAGAGTCTTGGTCATGCTACCTCAATTCACAGTAGGATTCTTGTTAGCATCGAAATACAGCCAATGTAGTGTCAGCTTCTGCTGGAACTACTTCATCTTTTACTGTCTTGACCTTCCATTTTATATAGGTTTTTTGCTGAAGGATTAGTTGTGTTGTGAAGTTTGAGTCTGGCGTCTGCCAAATTCTCTTCTGCATACCCCTACAGGACTAAGTAGAATTAATGTGTTAGAAGCTAAGGACGCTTTGGCGATAGTATAACTAACAAATTAGGGTAACAGCTAAAGTGCAAGGATTTTGACAAGATTTTAATCATAGATATTAAGTTTGTTTCTCATGAAGTGAGAGTAATATGGTAACGTAACTGCTCCTTTTACCAGATGATGTTGATGGGACGTGAAAGAAGTATCCTGTTTTGGAGGTGGGCTCTTTGACCAACTATGCAGTTTGTGATTGAAAACAAAGTGGAAAACAGTATTGTTTAGGATCATATTGGTTAGACTTAGACTAATGTCGAATATCAGACCAACTATGTAGTTTGTGATTATTGGTGAATATGGACTGGAATACGATATACAACTATTTAAGCTGTCCCAATGTTCAGTTGCTAATTGAAGTATTGTTTTTTCTTTGTTGACTTCTATAGAGCTCGGGCTGTCAGTTCCAAGGTGATTTAAGAGGAGAAATTCGTGATAGGTCATTTTGCCTTGTTATCAGAAGCAAGGGACGATTTGTTGCTTTTGCATGTCTATGAAGAGTGGAGTGCGTATATGTAAGATGCTGACTGCTTGATACCTTGAGAAGCAGTTGAGAATTTTTATTTGATCCTTCGGCGACACAAATCTTGATTGATTTACTTCTTGACACTGCAATTTTAACTATAGGGTTAGTGTCGATGCAAGTTAATTCTTCTTGTTTGATCTTTCATAGTTGCCCCTCGTATTAGGATTACCTTGTACCTAGAAAATAAAAAATACAGAGTTATCAAGGTCACTCCTGCCATATCTTTGCACAACAAGAACTACGAGTTATATAGTTTCATGCGCTTTTCGGGGTATGGTGAAGAATGCAATGAAAGTGATTTATTTCCCACTTTTGAGGGAGTGAGCGCCAGTGCGGTTCGAATCGTGTTTGCATTGAAATGATCTTCATTATAAAAGCTTGTGGTTTGCAATCGGTTTGAACTTTGAACTGAAACTGCACAATCGCAATTGTTGTTGGTTGAATGTCTGAATCAGAAAGTGCAGAAAACTTATTCCACGTACCGTGACCAATTTTGTTGTTGTTCGAATTAGATCAATAAGTATTCATTGTGACATCTACGTCGATAGCACTTTCATTGTGAGGATTTTGGTGTAGATTAGCCATAGGAGATCGTGATTGAGGAAGAGAATGGAATCAACGGAAGCTGTTGGAGAAATCGATCGAGAGCCTTGATAGCTCTGATATATGTTTGAAGACTCGATCGAAGGGAGAATGAAGAAAACATAACTGAGATAATGTAGTTCTTACAGTAGGGAGCTCTAAGCTTATATACAGGAGATACGTGGGGGAGTCGTTAGGCTTTATTGCATGTATTGACAAGCTAGTACTATTCATGTGTTTCTACCAAAAGCATGATCATGATCAGGCGAGGATCATTATCTATGACAATGTCCTCAGTTAAGTTTCCAAGTTTCTTTTTATAAATGGATGCAGCGCATCTAACTTTCATTCACAACCAAACGAGTCTTGGAGAGATCTTGACAGTCGTACAAAAGAATATGATGGAAATCAGGAATTGAACAAGATACATTGTGGACAGTGGCGGACCCAGGATCGTTGAAGAGGGGTGTCGCCGATAAAAAATTATAATAAATAAAATAATTAAATAAAAATAAAAGTTTAATAGAAATTACTGAAAATTCTTTTATAAGTTAACAACGTCGTGTTTACTACGAATTATGACGATTTTTCATATCCTGAATTTTTTTTAAAATACATTCATCGCTTATATTGCAAATCAAACATTTTTCGATATACACAACTACATAATCATTCATAAATTAGTCACTCAACCAAAGGGAATCGACTCACGTCTAAAATAAAACTTAAAATAAAATAGTTTATAATCAAATATAGTAAACCACGATCTACCAATTGGCAATTTTAGACAAAACAAAGTATGCCTAAAGTAATATCATTAACATTTTTCCTCTAGTTCTACCAAATTAACCAAAATCAAACCACAATCTCCCATAAATCTACCCATTTCACCTATTAACTACAAATTGACAAGTTAAATTGGGTTGTGGGTTACTTAAAACAATCATGCTTATTTGATTTTACTTATTATTGTTAATGACTAATTATGATGAATAACTTTATAACACTAAAACTATTATCGTATAATGAAGGTGTGTCGCTTATACTTATTGGAGCGGTGTCGGAAGTCTCAAATTAAAATTTTTTGTACCGAAAAAATATAGGTCCTTCACAAAATTTTCGGGCGGAGGGGTGTCGGACGACACCCCTTCCATAGACCTAGGTCCGCCCCTGATTGTGGAAGCCTAATGGTAAGCCGTGACCATGGTTTGCAAGGAAGTCAGCTCCCTTGTTGCCCTCTCGGTAGATATGATGAATGGTAACCTCCCAGTCGCGTTGAAGCAGCTCCTGGAAATGATGGATAATGGCTGCATGTGGGTGGTCCATGGTTGTCACGCCGGCCGGCGTGCCACCGGTTGTACCGGGTTCAACCGGTACCGGTCATAAAACTGGCGTGACACCACTGGTATGACCGGCATGATCGATATACGAATCTCTAAGTAAAATAATCTTATTTTAGAGAATTTAATTGATAAAAATTATTTTATTATTTATTTTATGAGTATAAAAGTTAAATATTGATGTTATTTGTTGGATTCGAGTATAAATGTTTAGATATTGACGTTAAATGTCATGTTTAAATATAAGTATTTATAATTTTATTTGTAATATTGACCGGCATGACCCGGCACAAACCGGTATGTGCCACCGGTTGAACCATTCCACTTGCTAAACCGGCACACTGGCATAAACCGGTTTGACAACCTTGGGGTGGTCAGAAGTGTCGTGATTACGCAGAAGTTGCACATCACACTGCGAATCAATTTCCACTCTAATCCACCGCCACCCCAAGCTCCTAACCAGCTGAAGACCTTCCAGAGCGCCCCTCAACTCTGCTCGGGTGATAGAACAAACAACCAAGTACATCGCGAATGCTGCGAGGCAACATCCTGAGTGATCTCTAATCAGGCCGCCTGCCGATGCATGAACTGATTCCTGAATAACGGAGTCGTCTATGTTGAGGGTAACCCACTCGGGAGGTGGCAGCTGGCAAGAGATCTCAACCTTCGTTCTAATGGCCAGACAAGGCGTGTGGACGAGCATGTCCTTATCCATGGCATTTTGCATTACATTAATCTATGCCTGGATTCGTTGTAGGAAGGCTTCAGCTGTAATGACCTTTCCGGTAAAGATGCGGTCGTTCTTGGTCCTCCAAAGAGACCAGCAGGTCAGGCCAAAGGCAAGGCTAGTATCTTCACGGCAGAGGTTCGAGATAATTCAATTCTGTAAGTGACTGTCAAAGAAAACATGGTGCTCAGAAAGCGGGATGAGCTGCATCCAAGTTAACCTGGCAAACTGACAGTCCCGCAACACATGCAGGACGGTCTCCGGGTGGCCTTGGCAGAGGCTGCAATGTGGGCTCGTTGTGAGGTGACGCCGGGTGCGCTCCTGGTTCGTGAGAAGTCTCTCTCGTGCCGCCAACCAGAGGAAATGTGGTACTCTAGCTGGTCCTCTCCAACGCCAGATAGCCTTCCAAACACGGTCGTTCTGCTCCACGGTGGATGAGGTTGCCAGCTCGTACGCTGTTCTTACTCGAAACCGTCCATCTTTTTTAGGTCCCCATGAAGGTATGTCCTCCCCTGAGTCCTCGCGTGGAGGTTGTATGCCCATTACCTGCAAAACTGCATCATCGGGTAAGAAGGAGCTAAGTAAGGGGCGATTCCACTGACCTGCCTGTGTGGTGAAATCAACGACAGTGGCCGATAGCTCAATGGGAGGGCTATCCACTCTAGCGAGGTCAAGAAGGAGATCACCATAATCCAGCCACCAGTCCGACCAAAAGGAGGTATTTTGGCCGTTTCTGATACTCATCTGTGTTCCCGCTACTGTTATCGGCCAGGCTTTCATGATCCCCCGACATATATTCGACCATCGCTTGGACGTTTTGGCTCTCATCGTGTCATTGACTGTCTTGAAATATTTTGCTTGGAGCACCCTCACCCAGAGCTCATCGGGGGATTTTAGGAAGGCCCAGGCCAGCTTGGCGAGAAAGGCCAGGTTGAGCTCATGGGCCTTCCGGAGTCCGAGTCCCCCTTCAGTCTTCGGTCGACATACCCGATCCCAGTGCACGAGGTGAACCTTGCGAGTGGTCGCCGTGGATCCCCAAATGAAGCTTCATATGCGCTTATCAATGAGATCGCAAATAGATATCAGCAACAGTGTTGTTTGCATGGCATAGGTAGGCAAAGAGTTCAGCACTGAGGCCGCCAGGGTCACCCGTCCTGCAAAACTGAGAGACTCGGCTTTTCAGCCAGACAACTTATTGTCAAGTTGATCGATGATATACCTGTAGGTGTCTTTCGTGACCCGTCCATGGATGACCGGGACCCCGAGATAGAGGCCCAGATCCTGGGTTGCTGGTATACCCATGTGTCGTATGATCTCCGCACTGATGTTCCTGGGAGTGTTGCCAGAGAAGAAGAGAACTGATTTCTCTTTACTGACCAACTGCCCCGAGGCGTGGCAGAGAACTGATTTCAAGCCTACTTTCAGTGTTTTATTAGTGGAACAGTGAACTGTTCATTTTTAGCTTTTTTCTACGCACGGAATGCTCAACTGATAAATAATTTTACCTATTATTGATGCTCATGGAGGTGTTGTTTCCATTTCAATCCAACTACAACCAACTTCTTTTATCACCCTTTTCTTGCTCATGAGCTTCCTCACCTTCTTTACATCTCCCCATTTGCCATACGAGGCAAGTATGTTAGAAAACATTACATAAACATAGTCATCATCACCTTCCAACTTGATCGCCTTTGCCGCTGCAATTTTAGCAACCTCCAAATTCCCAGAAGGTCCAAAGGCACCGAGGAACGCCCTCCAAATCACTCCGCTCAATTCAAAATCAAAGTTGTATATCATCCTCAAAGCCCCTCGGATCTCCCCTCTCTGTCCCATGAGTCGGATCATCGAACAACCGTGCTCCACAGCTGGTGCGATTCCATAATCGTTGATCATGGATTCGAAATATCGAGTTGCAGTCTCCAATGGCACGTTGACATTCGAGCATGAAGCTAGAACGTTTAGAAATGTGATCCAATCAGGCTCCAAACCCTTCACATCCTTCATTTCCTCAAATAGTTGGATTGCCTTCTCAAAACCCCCGCTCTGAGCGTACCCTGCCATCATTGCATTCCATGTAACCAAATTCTTTCGAGGCAGCAACCGAAATGCCAATTCAGCAGTGCTCACTTCTCCACATTTGGAGTACATATCGACAATAGAACTCCCCACCACAACAGTTGCTGCTAAGCCACATTTTATTGTGCAACAATGGATGGCCATTCCCCATCTCAGAGCAACAATACCAGCGATTCCAGTTAGCAAACTGGAATATGTATACTCATCCATTCTAACGTTACTTGCGTGCATTTTAGTGAAGAAATCCATAGCTTCTACTGCTCTGTCTCTGTTGACATACCCTGTAAGAATGGAGTTCCAAGAAGATGAATTGGGGTTTGGCATGGTCAATAAGATCTCAATAGCATCTTCTATACGACCAAACTGGGCTATACCATTGATAAGTTCATTATATGATACCGTATCAGGTTGAGGCATTTGACTGAATAAACTTTTAGCCAAATCAAGCCTCCGGTTTCTAGCACTTGCTGCTACAACCGAATTCCAAGAAATTATGTCCCTTTCATCCATTTCTTCAAAGGCCCGAATCGCCTCCTCGATTGAACCACATTTTCCATACATATCAATCAAGCAATTCTGTACGAAAACACCAAATCCTACACCACATTTAAAGACCTTGCTGTGAACTGACCTGCCAAACTGTACCATACTCAGTTGGCCACAAGCAGATAAAGCTGCTGTAATCGAGTAGGCATCTGCGCAGACATCAGACCTTTCGAGCTGCATAAATAAACCCAAAGCTTTCTTAAACTTCCCAGACTGCACGTACCCTGAAATCAGAGTGTTCCATGAAACTACGCTTGGCTGGGGAATTTCGTCGAACACATTGTGTGCTACACACACCGACTTCGTCTCCTTGTAAAACCGCATCAAAGCCGTGGAGACGAGGACATCTGAGGCGAACCCACATCTGATAACGTAGCCGTGGAGCTGATGGCAGTAAGATTCCAGGCCCAGGTCCGTGGAAGTGCGGATCAGGTGAATCAGCGCATACCCAGTTCCCTCGACGCCGGAGTTGAGCAACTCCAATACTCGTGGAAATGCCTGATCTAAACTCGATCCAGCGGAGCTCCCGCGGGCAAGCCATGATTCAATGGGTTTAAGGAGAAGCTGGAGAGAAAAGTTGCCGGGGAATGTTGAAGTGGAGAACCGAAAGTTGCGTTGCAGGGGAGAAATTTGAAGTGCCTTCAGGAGGAGAATTCGCATCTGTTATTTTTGGTGGGAAATTTGAACTACTAACAAATGCTTCACGAACCTTAATTTAAATAGTTATAAGCAGCATTTCGAGTCATTTATTGTCATTTACAAGTTTTAACCATTTACAAACAAGATATGCCAAAGGTCAAATAGCCTAGCGATGAAATTCTTAGTGAGTGTTCGTTTCAGGAAGCGACAAATTCCGTATTTGATCTTACCGAGACTGCTATAGTGTTCCCGGACCCGGAGGCATTTAATGGAGATCTTGATCGAGAGCCCGAAAGTTTCAAGCAGGTGAACCCCATAATACGAATAAAGAACCATAATTATATTTTTCAAATTTTCTCCCGCGATAAAATTGTTAATAAAAATTATATCATCATAGTTTATCTAAAAAAGTTGAACCCACCTTCCAATGAATCCCCTGAAACCATGTAGAACAAATCTAATCCAAAAATTGCAGAAAATAAATTTGGGAAAGAGAGGCTGCGACAATCTAGGGTAAAATTGCTAAACATAGTAATACCAAGCATCTCTTTGTTGCGAATGATGAGGAGCAAGCAACAAAACCATAGGAATGTTAGGTTCACAGACAAAGAAATCCTGAAGAACAAAGAAAAAGATCAATGGAACTTTTGTGAAATAAAAAGAGAGAAAACGAAAACAAAATTTATCAACAAATATTTCCATACCCAGATAAACATAATTTTCCATATACAGAAAATAAAAAATAAAAATAAAAACCTCAAAATTATCTATCCCCTCCTCCAAGCAAGACAGAGGCTGCAGCCTTCTTGTTTTTCTCATACCATAGTCTTTCATGGCATGACAGAAGAACAATTGGAAGGCAATAAAGAAGCAGAAGAAGACAACAACAAAAAAAACATTGATTCACCATCATCTCGAATCACGATTACAGTCGTGCGCATAATTATTCATGTGGATTATACAAAAAAAAAACAGCAAGGTTATGACCGTTTCTCGATGAAAGCTGAAGAAATTAGTTATTTCTGTTGATTCGAGCATCCTTCGGTCTTTCTGCATCGGGAGGAACAAAGGGGCGAGAGAAAAGTTTGATTTTTAGGTGTTGTGTTTGATTTATTAAAAGAAAAAAAGGGATTGATTATCAGGGAGGCAACAAGAATGAGGGTGGCATCAGCTTTGAACATGAAGAAGGAGGTGTTGGAAAATCTGATAATAGGTGGAGGGCTTATTCTGGTGCAATTTGTGTATGCTGGAAATTCAGTTCTGCTGAGCTATTTGATGTCTCTTGGGCTTACCCCTCTCACCATTGTCATCTTCTCCACTTTTGCCACATTCCTCATCACCTCCCCTTTTGCTTTCTACTTTGAAAGGTCAGTATAGATAGGAACTATGTCCATGAAAATGGATGATATCAGCTTCATTTCTGATTTCTTACATTTTGTTGTTGTTCTTATAGGAGGAAATGGCCCAAGAGAATCAGCTTCATGCTTGTTACCCAATTGGTTCTCATTTCATTCGGAGGGTAAGCAAAAACATGGGGAAAAATCGTATAATTTAATCATTTCGCGGTTATCAATTTTCTTACCCCGAAAGAATCTTATTTTTGCTCCTGTCACAAAAAGTTATATTGAGCAACATAACGATCAAGCGACAAACCTCCATTTGCAATCGATATTACTAACCATCAACCAACCAGATTTTCTTAATTCCTTACTAACAATTATATCCATTACAGTGAAAAATCAACGAAATCGAAATACTGAAAATATGACGACTTAGGGTTTGATGTCTCCACGGTAATTGTTATACCACAAACCAACTAACTACAATGGGGTGATGTGATTTTCTGCAGAGTGACCTTGTTCCAATCTTTCTTCCTCAAGGGAATTAACCTCACTTCTCCGGCCTTGGCAACAGCCATGCCAAACCTTTCTCCAGGCTTGATTTTCATCATTGCTTGGACACTAAGGTAACATTCAACATCTATCTTGTCCGAAACCTAATGCAGAATCTCAAATTCTGATTTCTATAAGAACTGAAACTATGCATATTACAGGATGGAAAGGGTTAGAATTGGGTGCATTTATAGCAAGGTGAAGATCATTGGAACATTATTGTGTGTTGTTGGTGCCTTAACTATGAGTTTCATGCATAGTAGCACAATCAAGGAGCCTGCCTTCATCGCCTCCCCTATTGATGTTTTCATCGACAAGGACAAGTTAGTCGGTTGCTTGTACCTCATGGCTGCAGTTTTTGTGCTCTCCAGCAATGTCGTGCTACAGGTAAAAAAACACTATATCTTCTTTCTATTGTTCTGTTATCGGGATTCCTCACCTAAATTTTGATTGGCTAGTCGCGAATAAATTTTGATTCAAAATTAAAAATACTGGTGGCAAATGGGTCGGATTAGGTTCTGATAGACCATGTCACACTAGGTTAGATATACAGGATGGTAATTGGTTCGGTCATGATGGTTCGAGGGTCATAACCAAATTGGTATTGTATTGTATCACGAGGCTCGCGAGTAACAATAGGTAACAGCTTGAATTGATTGGTCCGGACCGGGATGCATGGTAGCTCCTGGCTGGTCTATTCATGTTGCTGGTGGATAACTTTTTTGTCAATTCGGTCATGTGTTATGTTTGTAAACAGCGTCGACGATATTTATGTCTAATAGAAATTATTGCGAGTTAGACTCTGATACAGCTACTGACCTTCACAATTCTGACCAATCTTCTAGGATAACACAACAAAATTTTGTTTAACACTTTGCAGGCAACAACGTTGGGTGATTTTCCAGCACCAATGTCGTTATGTTCCATAACATCAGCGATTGGTGTGATGATAACTGTAATTGTGCAGCTGCTTCAAGGCCAGACTTGGGATGTTTTCTTCCCTCTCGTGGATGTTAGGGATCTCGTTGGGTATTCCTTAGTGGTATAAACATTGCACTTCTTCCTATTTCGATATCCAATTTGTGTCTGAATTCAAGCTTTAATTGACATGAATTCTTCCAATGGGATGGAAACAGGGAGGTGCAGTGGGAGGAGCATGTGTGAGCTTCAATGGATGGGCCATGAAAAAAAGAGGCCCAGTTTTGGTTGCCATGTTCAGCCCAATTGGGACAGTCATTTCAGTTGTTCTCTCAGTTGTCACATTGGGAGAGACCATCAACATTGGAAGGTGAGTTAGTAACTATACACATGAACCATTACACAAGTTAAATACTATTTTGCAAGCGTTCAACTAGTATTCTTTTTATTGAAATTGGTGATAAAAATGTTAGTGCACTATGTCATGTATCCACATTTTGCTAAAATTATATATTTTGTTAGTGGCAGTTCGATTCATGCTTAGCAACCACATTTCTGTTGGCTCACATGACACATACCGAAAATACATCTTTTGAACCATCAATCCGACTATGAATTCCCAAATGATAAATGTATATAATGTAAAATTAAGAATATGAGTGAATCCTGATAGTAATCAAGACAAATTTAAAAGAAGGAACAAGAACATACAAAATACATAGTAATGCAACAACTTACAACTATTGACAGTCTCTTATGGTACATGAACGTATTATTTGTCAAATGACATGGGACATCCTCCAAATAATATAAAGAGGTTCCGCTTGAACACCACCTCAGTTCATCTTTTCCTGGCTTCTGCGCATAGTAAGGGGGATATATTGGTCATTTAATAGCTTAAAACACTTTAATTATTAATTAAAAGCAAATCCGAACTCCAACGAAAAAAATGACATCCCTTTTTAATTGAGAGATTCTTTGGTCATATCATGGACTTAAAACACTCAACTTATTAATTAAAAACAAATCCGGACTCCAACTTGAAAATATATATATCCCTTAATTACCGAAAAAACATATATCCTTTTAATTAACATGTTATGTTTTTTTATAATGAATTAACATGTTATGTTATATATGAGCTTATTTACGATACTTCAAAGTATTGGTGCATATACCATTTGAATTTGCGTCATAATGTTAAAAGTATAAGTTTAGTTTGTATCATTATGTAATTTGTACATATATGTATATGTGCAAATAGATCCATAACGTTAAATGTACACTTTCAAATTGTATCGTAAATGAATTTATATGAAAAGATTTAGGTACAATATAACATCAATTGAAACAACCAATGGTATGAAATATTGTAAAATTCCTCTATATATATTTATTAAAACTGTTATTAGTAGCTGTGTTTTATTGTATCCATTTAGGCAATTTAGCTTATTGTTAGTTTATTAACATATAAGGTGTATAATTCAAGGTGCATAACCACTCCTTTATTAGTTTTTGATAAATCATAATTTATTTTTTCTAATTCAAATTATAAATTTTTAACTAAAAAAATGTTATTCTAACATCATATGGCATCATGTATAGCATCATTCATGAACTTCTAGGGCTTCTACCCTATTTCAAAACTCATTACTTAGGTTTTTCTTTTTTTGTTCATTCTTATAATTCAAATTATTATATAATTCATCAGAAGAGAATTTTTCTATCATATCTTCTATAATGGTACTCGATCTATGCATCGATTCCTAATCATATCCCCCATCAATTTTTTGTCGATTGTCATGAAAGTGTCTCACCTTGATGACTGAACTTTGACTAAGATCCCAATCTTTTAAAATCAACTTAGAATAATCATGATACTCCCTTCTTGATTCATGATTTACAAATTGGGAAATCAAATATGCAAAGATATAAGAAAAAACAACAACATATTATTGGAGAATAGTCAACCCATAAAGGTTATTCATTAGATATGACAATTTTGCCTTTATCCATGAGTATTTTACTACCTAACGCAATTGGTTTGGGTATGAAATTCAAATAGATTGTAAATTGGTAGAGTTTGATGGGTTTGTAGCAAGGACTGAAATACTGTACCAGAGGTTGTATCAGAAAAGTCACCGGTAGGGTATTTTATACTAAAACCGTGGTTCAACCGCTTCATACTGTTAAATACAGCCTATCAATTTTTCTGATCGAACCGCCAGCACGGTATTTCAATCCTTGGATTGTAGTCATACTCCTTTATTTGGATTGGGTTGGGTTGGATTTTTAATCCATGGATTTAGATTTATACCTATTTATAAATTACAGTTTGGAACATAAATTTAATAGGTCTTTAGATTTAATACCTAAAATTATTTTTTTGCATATAAGTCCTCAAAATATTGAAGAAAATTTATATGTTAGTACCTAAAATTTTATGTCTTACATTTTAATACCTAAACTTTTGAAGTTTCACAAATAGGTCCAGTTTTTGGATGAGTAGTTAAAACACCCTCAAGTAAATGAGTATCCGAACCCAACCCATACCCATACCCATACCCATATAGATTATGAAAGGAATATTCATATCCTATCCAAACCCATCTACAATCCCCCAAACTCATATGTACATCACCCATACCCTATCCATATTCAATAGGTCTATTTGGGTTTGGGAAAAATTACCTATGAGTGGGTAATTGCCATCTCTATTATTCATTAAGTTTTCATCTATACATTATCAAATTTGTGTTGATCCCTGAGTAGTTTATCAGTGTTGAGAGAAAGAACAAATCTCATAAAAATTTATGAGACGTAAATTATACCGCATGTAATATTTAGTGTTTCCAAACATTTTACTATTAAAGATTGGCTTTCAATGAGAAATAAAAGAAAATGAGAAGGAAGAACATATTGTGAAGATAAAGGTTTCGTTAAGAAAGACAAATGCATTGTAATTGGTGGAGATGTTTGTGCTTTAGAGGGAGGAGGCTGAGCTATACAAGAAATTCAAAATTAAATTTGCACAAATTTTTTATAGTGAGTAGCAAATATTTTGGTCTCACTAAATTTTTAGGAAACGATTTTCTTGCATGACTTTTAGTTTTTTACTTTCAATAAGGACTTGAGTCAATAAATCGGGTTAGCATGGTAAATCGGGTTAGTATGTTAAAGATTATATGAATATGGTATTTTCAGTAACTAAATGATTTGGAATTCGTATGATATGAAGTAATACAGTCTCACTTCGAACAATTATTATAGTCATTTACACTACTATTGAAATTCATCCGGCCAACGGGCGGGCCCAAATCTAGTTGTTTATAGATATCATTAACTCATAATCATTCACACAAGATTGCTAAATAATTTTGTTTCCTAATGAGGTGATTTGTTTTTTTTTTTTGGGGGGGCAGCCTGTCAGGGATGTTGTTGATGTTCACGGGGCTCTACTTCTTTTTGTGGGCAAAGGGGAAAGAAGGCTATTCGGATGGCGTTGACCCTTTGCAAAGTAGTGAGTTCGACCCACAGAAGCCTCTCCTAAGTTAAACCCACAAATTTGTTTTTGTTTTGCTCATTCCAAAAAGTGTAAATTAATTCGTACGTCTTTTCTTTTCTTCTTTTTTTTTTTGGCGTTTTAATTTAGGCATGTAGAGAGGGGGGAAATCCATAACCTTATCACGGATGAGATGATGGTCAGTTTGTAATTTGCACAATTTTTTTTTTTCTATCTTGGACAATCATACTTTAAGATGACGACGGTGGCTGCATGCAGAATCTCCAGCTTATCCATTTCAAACAGTCATCTATTTAAGTGTGCTTAGTTATCTAATATGTAATTGTTGGAGAAAAGAGTTTAGAAGTCGAGATTGGTCATCACAACCCAAATCTCACAAGACGCTTGCGTGACTGTAAAAGTCACAACACAGTTATCTACGATCGGTAAATTGCTCTGGAACACTGTAATAAAATATCCGTATCGATACAGGACATAGAATGTATGAAGTGATTGGTCTCTCAGTTGATTTGCTATGATGAGAAGGTGGTTGCTAGTGCCTGCTGCTGCTGCCGCCTAGTGAGCCTGCTAGGAGGACCGGCCGGACCGGACCCGCTGTTGGCCGCAAAGAGCGACCGAGGGCTGACTGATTCTTTGCTTGTTTCGGTTGATTGCTTTGCTTGTGTGTGTAATTAGAATGATTTAAGCTTGTCTTGTCTTCCTGCCGCTTTTCCCTCCGCCTTTGTCTCTTGCCCATTGGCTAATTCACATAATCATATGGTTGATCTTTTCATGGAACAACAACCAACTAGCTAACCACCGTTTACCAGATTATTATTATTATTTTGAAGTGCCAGCCAGCAAGGTCTTCCTAGTGTAAGGTTATGGATTAGTATATAGTCTTCCGCAAGAAGTTTCTATCTCTCATAAATTGATCTTCTGTTCAACACATAGATGCAGTGAAATTAAGTGAAAATAGGTAGTCGACACAAATAAAAAGTGTGCGATTCGTTTTAATGTAATTTCATTCTCTTTCTTAGTGCAGTAACAAGTTTAATGAACTTAGAATTTGATTATAAAAAAACTATAAAAAAATGTTGAGAGTTCTCTTAGAAATCATCCATGCTGTTGATGATGGCTAGTGTTAGAAACTTTTGAAGGTCTAACGTAATCGTTTATTGGTGTCGTCATGACTGTGCACTGGGCCAGAAGATATTGGGCTGGGCCGAAAGCTAGGGATTTCCCATTACGGTCCATATTGGGGGTTACAAGGAGCATGGCCCACATTGGTAATTGGTAAACTAGGCGAAGATATAATGATAAATTTTGACATAATAATGACCTAATGATTAGGGTCTAAGTCTAAGTGAGATTCTTCTATCCCTAACTTTAATAAGCAAAATGTGATAAAGGGTCACATCCAACAATCCAACTACACTTTCTCTGGTCCGCATGGTGCACGATATTGTACACAAGTCACTACTTGGCCTTTATTTTTATTTTTCATTTTTTTCATTTGTAAGCTGCTTTTCAAGGCAAAGTGGGGATTCAAAATGTGGCTAGCTAGCTCGGCATAATTTTGTACTTCAAATGTGGTTAAAGAAGTGTAACCAAAATATTAGAAAGAAGAATATAAATTTTCAAAACAATATCATGTTGTGGTCAGATGGTAGACCGAAAAACCGTTCTAGTCTCATTACGTATCTCCACTCAACAGGAAGAGATACAATTAATGCAATCGAAATCAGACTCCATTCACATTGATATTTTCCATCGTATCTGTTGGGGGTGTTGAGATCGGAGAAGGTCATGACACATGGTGAAGCCTACTAAGGGGGATGGGATCTGAGAAGCCAAATAAGAGGTGAGGCTTGGTTGGTTACTTGAGGCCCAGAAACGAGTGTAAGGGCACTTGGTTAATGCCCGATGCCTATCAGTTGGGATAGAGAAGGCGCGGTGATATGGGCGTCTGATGAAGCGGTGACGTGGGTAGACGCTCACTGGGCGCCTCGTGTGTATCTAGCAGTAGTGGATGTTAAACTAAGCGCCTGGGATGGTTCCGTTGCATTAAATGCGGTGATGACGTGAAGGTCCGTACGGAGAGGCCCAGGTAAGCGATGAACAGTTATAAATAGGGAGGTTGGTAAGCATTTACTAAATTTGGCTTCTCTCACTAAACTTTAGGGGAAAATACTTCTCTCTCTAAGGAAAAGACTGACTTGAGCGTTTGTGGATTAACGGGCCACAAGGCCCACCTCTTTTTGTGCAGGCGGATCCACAAAGGTACGGAAGGGAGGGTTGTAGATCGAGAAGGCTTCAACAGTATCTAATTCACTTGATAACCCGAATATCCTTATATATTTCAATGAACACAAAAGAAAAGCAGTTGTTCAAGATATATATATTTTACATAAACGAAAAACTTGCTTGTGATTATCATTCATCAATAAGTAACAAAGAAATTACATGATTGTCTTTCAACTCGTAATATGATCAATATTGATATTGTATTTGTCTTTTAACTCTTTTTGTTACATACAACAACGATCATACTTGTTTCAATTTTATTGGTCCAAATCAGTCACTAATTAAATTCTGGATAAAACAAATAAGACAAGAGAAATAAATAATCGTAAAACAAGCTGTTCTGGAAATGAAACCTACCAGAGGAAGACAAAACTCAAGCTCCCATCAATTGTAATTCAAACGTAACTCATCCTCAACAAATGCATGCTGTAATATATTGTCCAAGAATTATAGTGTAAAAATTGATAATGCGGAATAACAAGAACACGAGACAAACGATTTTACGTGGTATCCTCGATCGATTGATTGATCGAGACTAATCCACGGTGAGCTCATAAGAGCTCACGGCTGATTTCTGATTAGGTTTACATTGTGACGGCTTGCTATCACACAAGTCGATAGCTAAGCTTATATAGATAAACTTAGGGTTAAAACCCTAACCCAACGAATCAGACAAGGCCCAACAAGGCCCAATACAAACACGGTTTAAGTAACCGCAACACTCCCCCTCAAGCGAAGACATGAATGACAAGAATGTCGAGCTTGAAGAAGTAACTGTGAAGAACAAGCATGATGGCTTGAACTACAAAACTGGAGATGAATAACATCTCGGACGAGGTTGATTGGAGACAACTATCTCTCTCTGAACAACCTGATGATGGAGACGATTGACTGCGTCTCTTGAACTTGAACACACCTGGTACATCGCGGTCGACCTGATGACTGAGTTAGTCGACCAACGTATGTTGACCTCCTATTCTCCCCCTCAAGCTGGAGCATGAACAACGTGAATGCCCAGCTTGAAAAGCGATGAATGGTTAATATGTGTCCACTAATGAACCGGAAGAGGGGACGACCATTTCTTGGATCGTGAATGCCAGCTGGACGATGAAGGGACGATTACTTCTTTGATCGTACTACCTTTTGAACGCCAGGGGACGACCAATTTATGGAACGTGAATGCCTCAATCGATACTTGATTATATTTGATGAAAGCCTGCAAAATGAACCAGCCCAAAAATGAATTGAAGAGCCCATAAAAAGCTCTTACCATAAACAGCCCTCAAGGGCCAATTGGGCCACACGGCCCACACTGGAAGCTGATAACTAATTTGAGCAGCCGATCTTATTGATGATGGCCCGAAAAAGAAAGAAGCCTTCGGTCTCTGGGTTACACCATCTTCGGGCCCAATTAAATTTTGGGGAAACCCTAAAAGGGCTTGGCAATTCTAGCGCCGCCAGCTCCTTTGTCCATCTCGTCTCTTTTTTTTTCTTTCTCAATTTGTCAATTGCACTTGCCGTCGTCTTCCTCCAACTTGAGGAAAGCACCTGGCGATGAAACAGAGAGGACAACGCTATCTGCAGGGTCGGAATTGACGTGGAGGAGAGGAGGACCAACGACGGAGCTTTCACTGGAGGTGGCGGAACGACGGGAGACGAGACTTGATCGACGAGGAAGCAGTTCGACGAAGGTGATGTTGCGGACAAGACGAGTCTGATAATGGCGAGGGCTCGGATCCCGTCTTGCCGATCACGATGAATAAGCCAGCGGGATGAACTTCGCTGGTCTCAACTGGTGACGAAATGTGAATCACGGGACCGGCGGCTGATGACGACAACAGCTGGTGACAAATGACATTGACTTCCCACGAGCTGCGAACAAACCATGATGACCAGCTTCTTTCATAGAAGCCTTTTAAGATGAAACTCACCAATGCTTAGTGGCCTGGATAATGGCGGATGAGTGGGTTGCGTTGAGCGAGTCAACCTCAGAAAGGAAGCTCTGAGAGGCTTCCTGACACAGCGGCAAGGAGGGTTTGACTGGCCGGCGATTTATGACAGAACTGGATGCCCGACGTGAGCTCGAGGAAGGTGTCTCACAGTTGACGCCGTGACTCCCGGGTCGTTGACTATGTCACTTGGACGTATGGAGCGCGGGACTGCTCATCCAAAACGAGAAACCACGGAAGCGGAGGGATGGAAGCTCAAACCCTAATCAAGGATCGAGATTCGCTCTGATACCATGTAAAAATTGATAATGCGGAATAACAAGAACACGAGACAAACGATTTTACGTGGTATCCTCGATCGATTGATTGATCGAGACTAATCCACGGTGAGCTCATAAGAGCTCACGGCTGATTTCTGATTAGGTTTACATTGTGACGGCTTGCTATCACACAAGTCGATAGCTAAGCTTATATAGATAAACTTAGGGTTAAAACCCTAACCCAACGAATCAGACAAGGCCCAACAAGGCCCAATACAAACACGGTTTAAGTAACCGCAACAACCAGTTGGTCCCAATAACTCGAGTTGTTGGGAGAAGGTTATACTGGATCTTATACCACTCTCTAACACGCCCCCTCAAACGAAAGCCAACCCATGGGCTTGAAGTTTGCACAGGCCCACCATACCATGTGCTTGAAAGACGACGGTTAATATTGGGAGTCGTGGAGATTCGAACACATGACCTTTCGGTTCTAGGCTCTGATACCATGTCAAGAACCAGTTGCTCCCAATAACTCGAGTTGTTGGGAGAAGGTTCTGCTGGATCTTATATCACACTCTAACATATAGAATCAACCTCTACTTCAAACCTAATCAACTCACATTGTTTCCACCCAATAAGCAAAATAAAAATAGATATTCTTAAACATAAAATTAGAGAAATGGGTATACAAGGAAAAGAAAACGAGAAAATCTTACAACATTAGCGAAACAACACACATTAAACTTGATCTCACACTATAAAGCATTATACAGAACCCCCCCCCCCCCAACGTTGAATCATTGTACAGATTAGCGTAGATAAAAATATCGTTTTACACGGGATAGAATCATT